CCACTCCAAACTTGGAGAGGTGCTTCCACCGCCCCATTAGAAACACATGCCGCAAATGAATGTTTGTGCGCCACATTCAAAGCATATTTTTGAGCCACTCGGCGCTTGGAGCTTGGCGCTTGGCGCGTGTTTTGCTCGAGTTCACAACTTAAATTACGCAGCGAGCACACGCACAGGCCCCCACCCCACTACTACTTTTGCCCCTCCTGCCATCGAGTTTCACAGCCTTTGATTGATGAAGAGGCAATTCGTTGGGAGAAAACTCAGCCACGTCGGCCACGCCAGTGTTAAACACTAATGGCAGCTTAAATTAGATTACAGAAGACTCGTTGCCGGAGTTTGAATAGAGCTGGGGGGCTGGGATTGGGGCTGGAGTTGTGGGGGGACGAAGACTGAGTGCCAAGCGTGACCAACGCATTTGCAACTGCCTCGGCTGTCCACCCCATCTCTTCATCCCTCCATCCAACCATCATGGCATTTGTATTTTATAGCACAAACCATTTATTTAAACTATTCTTACTCAATTCTAGAAAAGTTAACCCCCCGAAAATTCAGCTGGTATCAAAAATCAACTCATAAAAATCGCACAAAAAGACATAAATAAGATTTATTGTTATAGTTTTACACCAGCCCCCCCGAGTCCCGCGTACCGGCCACCACGCACGCACACAGACACGTTTCAATTGCCATTACGTATACGCAGCGTGTTCGGCCAAATGTCCAAACCGAAATTCGCCACCGCAGCTGCTGCCTCTGCCGCTTCCTCTGCTGCTGTTCGGTCGTTTATTTTGGTGTTAAATTTCACGTAAAAATTGCACTAAAAATTAAATATAAATATTTGCTTAGGGCCATTAAAATACCCTTAAACTAAGTTGTTTAAGTTTTTCGCACAACTTGTGGAAACTTTTTAATCGCAACTTTTATGGCCTTCAAGTTTGCGCCTTTCTTGGATAGTAAATGGGACATAAAGTTACTCTAGGCTTGAATTTCTCAATGAATATACATAATTTATTATTTAAGATAAGAAAACTCAACAAAAGCGTATATCCAGTTCGTGGTATACATATATCATTATGTTTGCGTATTTTGTTTCGGTGTCGTGCTTAAATCAAAACACGAAAAAAATCCTTTATTATGCAGATAGTTTGCGATGGCTGGGGGCTGGCTAACCCCACGGAATTTCATGGTTACAAATAGTTAATGTACAGTTAATTATTACATAATCACTGACCGACACGAAACGAGGCACGGCTCCCCAATCTGAGGAGCGGAATACTTCCTACAACACACAGTACGTATGGTCAAGTGCATTGACTCTATGGGTGGCTTTTTCTAGTTTTTCCTTTGGATTCTTTGTATTTTCGTATGTTTGCCGGTCATAAATATTAATTATAAAACACGATATCCATTATACAATTCTTCAGGCACGAAATCATCATCATCAACTCAAAGGATTGGGACTACAACATTTTCCTTTTCCAGCTAACCAATTTGTGTATGAAACTTTTATGGCACTCGAAGCCGAGGGGAATTAAATATTGCTGTGCCTACTATTATAGTAGAACGCTAAGCTATTCGTGGGTATGGCAAGTGCCCTATTTTTAAATTGCTTTCCTGCCAGCAAATTATTCATTCAATGAAATCAAGACTTCTGGGTGAATGGGGTTCCTTGGCCCCTACCTGAGTAAACAGAGATTTAATTTCCAAGTAAATAGTAATTGATTGGGGCAGACAAGGCTAGAAACTTCTTTAATGTTTAATTTAGTTAGTTTGTAAATAAGAACTTAGAACAATTGAACTTTTATTGAATTATTACAATAATTTCATTTAATTTTAAGTGTCTTGGGTAATTAAATTTCAATTTTCAGTCTCCCATTTTAAAGTCCTCGCCTTTACTGCCTGAACATTACCCCCTGTTTTGTCCTCATTTGGTATGTATTGTATAATCATAACATAAAATAATTTATGGCAAATGAAAGTCACAAAAATGCCAAGCCTGGCGACGAGGAAATGGAACGAAAACTTGGTTTCATGCTCCATTCCCCAGACTGCCGTTGGCTGCCCATTTTCCCGCCGTTTCCCATGGCAACCCCTTTTCAAGGCGACTCTTTTGGAAAATGTGTTCGGCGTGTATATTTTTAGGCAAAAACCAAAGCATATATAGAAACTCGCCTGGCCGCGACACCTAAACTTTCATTTTCCTTGGCCGAGCACCGTTCCTTCTTCCTTTACAAATTTTAAAAAGGAGAGAGCTGGTGGGGAAAATGCGCCAAGAATGTTTCGCTTGTATCCAGGCTTTTGTGATCTGTCGTCTGGCCGCCCCTAGGTCTGCTCTTCCCTCCCATGTCTTCTACGATGCTTTCGGGGTTTTTTGGATGTTTCAGTCAAGCCTTTGTTTTAAAGGCTTTTGTCGCGAATGCTTTGAATTTGGATGTCTTTGCTGCACAAGCACAAGCTCCTGCTGTTGCATTTTGATGTTTTGCCGAAAATTGCGCCACAAAATTCAGAAATGCTCTGCACAAAGCATTTGCACCCCCTTGTACCGCCCCACCATTAAAAGCCTCAAAGGCAATGGAAATATTCGCTGGCAACGATGTAATATAAAGCTTTGTGTCGAAATCTCTTGATAATCTCAAACATTCAATGAACACAAAGGGGAAATAAATCTCTAGTATGCCTATCTGGGTATTCATTCAAGACTCTTTGAAATCCAACAAACATATAAAACTTTCCCTTATACTTATTTTGAGTTAATTAAAGCCACAGTTTCGAGGATACCTTTCTCTCTAGCCATCCACCTGTCAACCTGCTTGTCAATTGGTGGTAATTAGAAATTCTTTGTCTTTTAGCCTTCACTAATCATTAAATTCCTCCTGGTAGATGGGTTGTCACTAAAACTTGGTTCATTTGACTGCCAAAATATTTTCTATAAAGTTTTTGGAAGGCCAGGTATATAGGCCTGAAAGGTTCAGCTTCGTAGCTCACAAAATACTTTTAGTTCATTAAAAGTTCTATAAGCTTTATAAAAAAAACATCACTATTTTTAAGGATCATAACTTATTTATTTTCTCACAAAAACCTAACATTTTCATCCCACAATGTTGCCTTAAAAATTCGTAGTATGCAGTCAACTATGAAACATAAATTCAACTTCTAGTCAACACGCAACATTTTTATGTGTGAAGGGCTAATCTCACAACCTGGCCAGGGACACGTCTTGGCCAAACAAAAACCGTCAATCGCCGGGGTCCTTGACGCGCTGACTTCGTTTTCAGCACATTTCCGCGTCGTGTTTGTTTTTGCGGAAGGGCTTTTGTCGGTCGAAACGTGTTGCCGGCCACAAAAGTTTGCCACCCAACATTGCGGCGAAGGTAAGGCGGCATCAACCTTATTTTTTTTTCTCCACCTGGAGAGTATTTGGTAACTGCTGCACTCAACACGTTGACAAGTTTTTTGGAAATTGTCAGACTGGGACGGGTGCGGCGAAACGGAGCCAGATAGCGAGCTAACGGCTGAAATTCGTCAGTTAGTCACTCAGTCAGGCAGGCAGTCAAGTTCTAGAACTCGTTGCATACTTTTGCCGCCTGTTTAGCAGAAAATGCATTACGGAGAGAAAGCGGCAGAAGAAACCAGGGCGTCCAGCTCCTTAAAGATTTATTATAGCTCCTCCTGCTGTTTCTGCTGCTGCTCCTGTGTGGTAGTGGGTTTTGTTTTCGTTTCCTTACTCTTGTGTTCTAGGATTCTGGGGTTCCGTGTGATAAAATGCTTGACACTTTTCTAAACGGCCAAACTTTTTGACTGCCAAAGAGATTGTCCCGGCTATCTCTCACACTCCCGAATTTGTGCCTGTACTTTTTAATGCTCCATAATGCCTTGTCCTGTGCCGCCACCCATTCCCATACCAGGTCTTATCCCTTTCTCAACTTTCTCCACAACGCCCTTCCTTCCTTTTTTGGTGTCTTCTGTGCAGTTTGTTGACACTGTCTGGCTTAGAGAGCGCATAAAGTGGAAATGATTTACGCAGTTCACCTTGTTGTGCCAGTGCGTTGATGTGTATGCCACTGGCAGTGTGTGCGAGTGTGCGAGTGTGTGCGCTTACATCCTGTGGGCATAATAAATAGCCCCAGCTTTGGTCTGGCAGTTTTGTCAAATAGCACTTCTGAGCTTGAAAACACCTGAAAGCTGTTTTTGCTTCCGTAGACCCATGGCGAGAGCTTACCAGAGAATTCTACTCACCCAGTAGAGAGAAAGGGGGTCAGAAATCTTCGAGTATAAACTTTTCAATCTACTGCGCAAGTTGGCGTGCCTTTTGATTTGTGGCTTTTTTCACGCTTTCCAAATCTCCAAAGACAGGCAATTCTTAAAAATAAAACTTCTTGCTAATAAAGTTTATTTTAAAGACTTCTCGTTTATAGAAATATTTATGAAACCTGTTAATCTTTCGGCTTCATTTCGTATTAGCTTAAAACTCATTACTCTGATGCTACGTGGAACTGACTTCAACTGCTTATGGCTTATTCCCAACCTGTTCAAAATTCCATAAGCATTTGCTTTCCTGCTAATGGACAGTTTAGAGAGGCGACCAACGGAGAAGCTGCCACGGAACTGGCTGCAGTTGGGCTGCAGACTCACAATGGGCGAAATGAAATCATAAATGCCAGGACACGTGCCAGGACAACGTGCCTCCAGTTGCAACGAGGTGTTCAAGCATTTCCCACCCACTTTCTACACTCTTTCGCTTAGATTTTGCTTTTTGTTTTATTTTTATTATTTTTTTTTTGGCAACTCCCGACAAGTTGCGAGTGTCTCGCATTCTGAATGCAAGTTTGTTAAATATTTAAATTTATTTATTGGACTCGACTCCTGGACTCCTGGACTCCAGAATTCGTGTACTCTGCTGTCTGAACCCAAAAGCCCGGCAGCCAGGGCCATTTAAAATAATCAAAAAAAAGAGTAGAAATAAGGCAAACGGTAAGTAAGAAGGATAGAGGTGGACTTACCGTGTGCATCCTTGGAGGATGGGCCGCTCCCACCGCCGCCACTGACGCCGCTGGAGCCTTGGTTGCTGCCTCCGCCGGACATTCCGATGCCGGAAGTGGAATGCAGGCGCGCTAATGTGACCGGCATTAGCAGAGCTATCGCAAGGAGCAGGGCCATAAAAATTTTCCACATTGTTAACGTGGCCATTTGACTTTTATTGCACTTCATTTTCCAGTTCTTCCTCTGGCTCTCGACTACTCTCGCGTGTATATATATTTTTCTATAATTTTTCGCTGGCTCCGTTCGCCCTTCGCCGCTTGTTGATTTTAATTTGATGTGACTTAAGTTGGATTTGGTTTGCAGATTTTGCGTTGCACTTTTTTTTGCCCTACTATTATTATATCGCCATCCTCCTCCAGTTCCTCCTCCTTCTAATGGAAGCACATTTCGATTTTTCTGGGGCCTCGTCCTCCCAGAGCCAGTCCCAGTTCCAGTGGCAGCAGCTGCAATTGAGAAAAGAAAAGAGGGGGTGAATCCATCGGTTCCATTGGCTTGAGTATTGAAAAGTTTTTAGTTTGGAGGCTAGTTAAAAAGTTGAACAAGTTTCTTTTTGCTCTTTTATTCCACTCTAATTTTTTTTTTTTTGTATTTTGTTAAAGTCAAGTTGAAGCCGCAATTATCGAGTTGTAAGGCGACGCGCCCTGCTAAGACCCCCACACAGATGTTCATGTTCACAGAGGGTGGAGGGCAGAGAAAAACTCAATTTTGGTAGCAAAAGTTTCTCAAAGAGAGATGAGCAAGTTCGTCACCTTGCTGGAAAGTTTTTTTGGGACTCTGAGGGAGGTGAATCAAAGGTGGTTTGACAACATTAGTCATGGAATTTAAGGAGCGTAATTACTGAAGCGAAAGGTCGGAGTGGAATAATAAAATATTACAACTCTTCAACTTTTAATACGATTTGTGAAGCCAGTGATTTTCTTAATAAAGTCAAAATACTTCATATCAGGTTACTTATGTAATATATATATTTTTTAAGCCATCTTGCAGTCCTCAATTCTTTTTTTCGTGGAATGAAATTTAAGATAAAAACGCCAAGACAAAAAATACAAAAATTTACCATTTCCGTTCATCAACCCTACCTTCGGCCAGCATCCATCTCGTCCTTTTAACCAACCGTAGATTGGCAACCAATGATAAAATTCGCCATAAGCAATATTCAACAAAGGACGAAAAATATCGCTCCTTTTCCCCATTCAAAAGGCAAAATAACTTGTACAAAATAAAGGTAAAAAAAATTGACACACGACTGGGGAAACAAAAAGACATTTCATGTATCTCTCTTCTTTGGAAAAAAATGTCCTCCGAAAATAATAATGATTTGCAAATATACAAAGCAGTAGACTGGGACTGGGGCTGGGACTGGGAAAAGGACCCAACTTAAAGGAGGCCAGGAGCTGACAAAGGAGGGAAGGTAGCGCCAAGAAACAGACACAAAAGGTAGCCGGAGAAAAGATACAGAGATGGAAGAGATGTTAACCCTGGGATGGGATAGACAAAAAGGCAAATCAATAGGCTACAAGGCGGCACGGACAAAAAATCAACCCAATGTTGGACAGAAATTTTTCAAGTTTTCCCGTTGGTTGGCCGCCCCCGGTAGCAGTTTCCGGCGCCCCTTGTCTCCATCGGCATTGCCATTGTCATTTTGTCAACGTGTCCGTCGAGTGTCGTCAACTTGGAAGATGGGATTGGGAGGACCTTCCTCTTCCTAATAATGATAAGAATGTAAGACAGCGCAATAAGCGACCAAAAATATGGCCAGCAGATAAGCAACAAGGGACGCTGTCGGAAAGGTGTCAATGTAAAGCAATATAATAATAATAATAACGACAAACCGCCCCCAACCCACCACTCAAAATAATGATGATAAAACTAATGGTCCGGCTGACAATTATAAACATTTTTTTTTCTTTACAGTTTTTCCTTCCTCAAAAAATAAGAATTGGGTAAAAAAAATACATAAACTGCAAGGGCTGGGGGGGCTCAACTTGAACTACACTTGAGCAATTCGCGCACAGTCGAGTGCGCACATTAACCCACACAAAGGACTCGCACTCATGGCCCGAAAATAAACAACAGGAACAACAACAAAAGGCCAATGGCAAAATCAACATGGCGTACAGTGAGCGGAAATGGAAACGTCGACCAGCCGAGCTAGTGACCAGCAACAGAACCAGCCAACCAATAGACAACCACAGAGGGGTGTATAGAAGGACGTATGGTAGGGGCACTATTTTTTTTAAATATGTGAGGAGGTTTGGGAGATTGTATTCTAGAAATGCGACTAATAGATCTCCTTATAACTTAAATAATGAATTAAATAATATATAAAAAGTATGAAAAATATATTAAAATATTTAGAGATAAATAAACTCAATTCTTATAAGCACTATTTTCTAATAAATACTTATGACTTTCTCAGAAAATCTTTTTCTAAAATTACCCTTTAAACTAGTACTTGGAGATTAAGTTCCTTAAACAAGACTTGGCTAATTCAGGCTCTTTTTTTCCCCAAGAGAGAAAATTAAGCAAACGTTAAAGGGAAGAAAAAGGATACATTTGATAGACACATTTTATTGCATGCAGTCGTCGGCAATGGCTGTCGCTGCTGCTGCTAACGGACAGTCTGAAGGACTGAAGGCAAGTGCCCCCCGGCAAGGATCTCTTCCACGAAGCGAAACCAAAACTCATACACAGACAATCCAGACAATAGTTGTGGCATTCCGGCGCTCCCTTCCAGCGCCTTCTGTGGCTTCCGTGTCCTAAGCCCTGTCAATGGCTGCCTAGCACTTCCTGACCCTCAATTGCCCCTCTCACATTTGTGTCTGGCCCGACTGGCTCGACTGGCTGTTGTAGTTTATTATTCCCGCTAGCCTCATTCTTTTCTATTTGGTCTAAATAAATTTTTATCATGTGCAAAGGGCCATGGAGAGCAAACAATCTCTGGTTGGGGTCTGGTCCGTCACTCCAATCTGCGCTGTCCTGCACTTGGTACGTCATTCCGACGGCCCGTCCGTCATTCATTCAGTTATTCATTCGTTCAGTCACTTCATCTACATCCCAGGGCCTGCCCAGCCCCGTTTTTGCCTGTTTCTTATGGTCTTTGTGGTTATTGAAGCGATCATTCGGAACAGAATTTTCTCTCGTTTTTATATATTTTGTTCCACCAATCCCCCTCCACAACTTCCGTCCTCCAAAACATTATTAATGGAAAAATCGTTTAATATGCGAAAAATTTAAGAAAATTGCTTACATATTATGACATTAATGGCGGCGCGAACGATCCGATACAGCAATATCTGATTTTTAGTGTCGTTGAGATTAATGCTGTCCGATGTACGAGCATCGAGCATTTTCACAAATAAATCTGTATATCACTCATACATTTATGTACGAGCAGGGCCAGTTCTCTGTTGAGATATGGCCAACACTTAAGCCACTGGCTTTATGCCGCACCCGGCGTTGAAATTTATGTGGTCGCCCAGGAAATATCTCTTCATATATATTCGCACATATTCATGTATTTATTGTTTATACGTACTTGCGGTCAGGCAAGAGCAATCGACATGTTTTTGGGGGTTCGTCGCAAGGTCTAGTTTGATTAACTTTGATGGCCCAGTTGTGGATAAATACCAACAAAGTTCGGTTTATGTTATTGGAGCATAGAACATAACACAAAATATGGCTTCCTATTGATTTTCACTTAAGCTCTTAATGCCAAAGTGGCAACAAAAATGGTTTGTTTTCATTGGGCCTATCCATAGCCACAAAAATGGCATAAAAACAATGTATTACACGCTATCCATTGATTGTTGTTTTTTGTCTTAAAAATACTCCTATTTTTTTTTATTAAAAAAATAAACATAAGTAAAGGAGATTTGATTTATGCAAAAGGAAATTGAAAATATTGTTTTTAATTTAATTTTTCTTTGCGCCATCGAAAATTATATTCCAAACGAGGCATAACAAATAAGCCAACCAAAAAATCAAGAAGAAAGGGATCTTAGCAACAAGGAGCCCCATGTATGGGTATCAACCAGAGGCCTTAAGAGTGGGCGGAGAAAAACGACTCCTTCTATGTTTTCCTTTCCTTTGTCAAACATTTCCCTCCCGATGGCTGTTTCAATAAACTTATGCAAATATTCAATTTGAGGAAGTTTTTTTTGACAAATGATAAGACCAAACAAAAGGCAGCCAGACAAATAAAGTTTTCACACCCAAACCCGAAAAAAAAGGCGCCTGAATAGGGGATAAGGAAAGAGATATCCGGCGGTTTGCTTAGCAAAATTAAAATGGGAAACGCACATATAGGAAGGATGGTGTCTGTGTGGAAGCCTTAGAACGAACGGAAATGCAGAGTTCTAAACAACTTTTCACCGGTTCTCCATCATGCGAGCCGCCATACCAATCAAGCCAAACAACTTACTCCTGAGACAGGAGCTCCTGGCCCATACCCGGGCCGGCTTCTTCCATTGCCTTCTTTTGTTGTGAATGGAAACCGAAGTAAATTTCAATTTAACCTTCATCGACCAAAACTCATTTATATTTATAAATTCGCCGACAAAGCCGCAAAAAATAAAATAAAAATAAAAAAAGTGAAATAAAAAGTGTAAGCGAACAAAAATAGGGAAAAAGACAGACACAGTCCGAGGGAGAGAGTTGGAATATGTAACGAGTATAAATAAATGCCAAGTAGTGGGGTAAGGGGGCAGAGAAAAAAAAAACACAATAAATAAAAATGCGTGTGTCTGTGGTGGCATAATAAAATTGCAGCAAAGCAACAGCCACCAAACCAAACCGATACAACCAACAAAACGAGCAGGAAACAAATTCCCGAGTCCTTCACAAAAAGAGTGGAGTGGAGTGGCGGCAGGTTAAGGACGAGGCAGCGAATAATAAAAGTGCGGCTGGCCCACACGGAAAAGCGGCCAAAAGGGATAAAAATCCATCAAACTTGCAGATAAGCCACCAGACGACGAAGATGGGTTCCAGGACTCGTCGTAGGAGTATAACCAATAATGAAGACTGCTGTGGCTGTGGCCCTGGAACACACACTCTTGTCTGAGAACGAATTCCCAGGACTGGGGGCGGGCATTGGCATCGTAAAAGGCTAAAATATTGCGGAAAATGATGTT